AGCCCGACCTAACCCGGCAGGCGGCGCGGACCCTGGGTCTCAGCTGGAGCAGGAACGGCCCGCGATCCCACCCTACCCGAGCCCCGCGGCCCAACCTGGCGCCCCTGAGAACCCCCTTCCCTGGCGAGACTGGCAGCATTTCTTGGACAGGGCCGCGCTCCCGGCTCTGGGCCTGCGGTGCCCGGCGGGCGCCCCCGTCTCCTGGGGGCCTTCAGCCAGCTGTCCTGCTGTCAGCCACAGGGCTCGGGTGCTTAGGCCACCCTCCCGCCGAGCCCTGACCTTGGACCCTGGGCTGCTTCTGGGGGCTGTTGGCGGTGCCGTGCGTCACCTTCCCAGAGCTGGCGGACTGCACAGCCACTGCCCTTCCTGTTTCCAAGCTCCGAAAGGCTCTTGGCAGCACCTGCTGGCTGCGGCTCGGGTTGTGGGCAGGAAAGCCAGGCCCGAAGGCTGTCTCGTGGCTAGGAAGGTAACCCTGAGCGCCTTAGAGGCCACCTGCTCAGCGGGCAGAATACCGAGGAGCTGAGTAGGGGGAGTGGTGCGCTGGAAGTCCTGGAGAGCCGCTTTCCTAAGGCCAGGCTGCCCCACACCTGAGGCAGGGTGATCTCACCTCCCCGGGTGGGGGCTTCACCCGATGCCAGGCCTTGGTCAAAAGCCTTGGGGCCTGCAGGGCCTCAGCACCCACTGGGCCCCATTGGACGCGCCCACAGATGGTGGGCAGGGCAGGATGTCCTGGCCCGTTTTCCCCAGAGATGAAGGGCTAGGTCTTCGGATGGTGAGTGACCTGCCCACATAGTGGGAGGCAGAGCCTGCACAGGCTCCCAGGGGTCATTCCTGGCTGGGGCTCTTGCCACAGCTTGAGTGGCCTCCCTCCCTAGCCGAGGCACCCAGCACCGAATGCACAGGAGCCCTGAGGCCCAGTGAGATGGAGCTTTTCCTGGACACGAGGTGGGATGCAGCCAGGTCCCCAAGGCCCATCAGAGCCACTCTGCAGTGCCAGCCCCAGGCACCCAGGGAAGCAAGGGCTAGGGTGTTCATTGGCACCCACTCAGTGCGTGGGTGCTTAGATGTCTGTGGAGTGACTGTATGAATGCAAGCAGAATCCAGAGCAGGAGCGTGGCACTTCCGGAAGGTTCCTCAGGGCTGTAGGAGGGCCTGTGGCTGTCTTCAGTGTGGAAAGGCCTTTGGCCCAGCCATCTTTCTGGGTGAGCCATGTGTCAGTACAAGTACTGAGTACAGTGTCAGTACAGCTGAAAAGATTGGTTTCTGTCCATCTGTCCAGCAAAAGCTGACCCATGGCCTCCGCGCTGGCTTCCGGGATAGATGCAGCTGTGAGCAAGGAAGGGTGAGGCCGCAGGCCCCCTCCCCGGCCAGCCCACCTCACCCCGCTGTCTCTCTTTCCACAGCTCACCCTCTTCCACCTACCCTCTTGGAATTCCCCGTCCTCGGTCTTACCTGACCCCACCCCCACTAGAATGTTGCCAGACAAGGCTGAGCTGCTTCTCCGTCACCTGAATGCCTAGAACAGCGCCTGCTCTGGGCAGGGACAGCACACGTCCCTCCAACTAGCACAAGCACGCGAGCAGAGGTGTCACCGCGAGTGAGACGTAGCAGAGCAGCCTGGCAAAGCCTGAGTGACGAAGGGCTCCGCAGGGTCAGGCGTGTGAGTGTCACCTGGGCTCCTGGGGCAGGGGCCCGACTGGGGAGGGGCTCGCTGTGGGCTTTCAGTGGGAAACAGTGGGACCCTGGTTGTTTCTTTCCTGCCGGTCCTCCCCAAGGAGTGAGCTGCTTCAGCGAGACAACCCACCAGCCCGACCCCTGGCCTCCGTCTGTGCTGGAAAATGGCCGCCTCGGAGTCGGACTTCAATCTCAAGGTGGTCCTGGTCAGTTTCAAGCAATGTCTCAACGAGGCGGAGGAGGTGCAGCTGGACCACTACCTCGCCGGCTGGAGGGGTCTGGTCAGGTGCGTGGGCGAGACCTCTGCCCGAAGGCAGGCCTTGCTGGCCACAGTCCCCGGGCGCAGTAGGCAGGCAGCACTGTGCCCGGAAGACGGGGGCGGGGTGCCCTGCCCTGAGGTGAGTGCCTACACCCCTCACAGGTTCCTGAACAGCCTGGGCGCCATCTTCTCCTTCATCTCCAAGGACGTGGCGACGAAGGTGCAGATCATGGAAGGCCTGTGCGGCGGCCCCGGGCGGGAGCACTATAGCACCCTGCAGTCCATGGTGGCCTATGAGGTGGGCCACAAGCTGGTGGACTTGGAGCGGCGCGCCCGCTACCCTGACTCGGGCTGTCGGACGGTGCTGCGGCTGCACCGGGCCCTGCGCTGGCTGCAGCTCTTCCTGGAGGGCCTGCGCACCAGCCCGGAGGACGCCAGCACCGCCACACTCTGCACCGAGTCCTACAACGCCTCGCTGGCCGCCTTCCACCCCTGGATCGTCCGCCGGGCCGTCACCGTGGCCTTCTGCACGCTGCCCGCACGCAGGGCCTTCCTGGAGGCCATGAACGTGGGGCCCCCCGAGCAGGCTGTGGAGATGCTGAGCGAGGCCCTGCCCTTCATCGAGCGTGTGTACAGCATCTCCCAGAAGCTCTATGCCGAGCACGCCCTGCTGGGCCTGCCCTAGGGGCTAGAGGCCGGGGCAGCTGGGCTGTCAGTCCCAGGAGAGGGAGGACCACTGTTCCCCTGCGGACGAGGCTTGGGGAGTGACAGGCTGCGTGGCCCACTGCAAGAATGCAGGTCTGGCCGTGCGCTCCACACCCGTCCCCTCACTCTGCCTGGGCCTCCTAGCTTTCCGCTCGGCCAGGTCCCTGTGTGTGCAGTCAGGCGTCACCCAGTGGGTAACGTGCAGAAGGCGGGGGGGGCGGTGGTACAGGACCAGCGTCCTTGCAGAAGCCCAGGAGGCTACCTTGGCCTGTGTGTGGTCTGTGAGATGGGGCGAGTCACAGGTCCCAGGAGGGCAGACTTTGCCAGTGAACATGTCCAGCTGTTTGTGTCCTTTCCAGACCCGGGATGCAATGTCTGCCCAGGGGTGCTACTTCCGGCCCCTCCGTGCCATGCAAGCAGTCCCCAGGCCAGGGAGAGAATCTCTGGGCAGTGGCTGGCATTGCAGCCCATTCCCTGCCCCTCACCTTGTTAGCCAGGGCCCCACGTGTCCGCAGCAGTGACAGTGGGAGCCGAAGCCCACGCACAGGCCTGCACTTCCTCTCCCTGCACACGTCTGCTGCCTCCTGCAGCCACACCGCCCAGGGCTCCCCAGGCAGCTGCCTGTGAGCCTGCATAGCACAACCCCAGAGCCCCTGGGGGCCCGTGACCGCTGGGCCAACTGGCTTCTCCCTCCTCAGGGTCCAGCAAGATGCTGCATTCACTATTCTCTGCCCCTCACCGCTCTATCTCCGCGGAGCTCAGGAGACCCAGGGTGCATGGCAGATGGAGGGGCCTGGACCCCTTTGCCTGCTACGGTGGCAGACAGCCATGCCCGGCCCAGCCATCACCGAGCGCTTGGGAGCCTGGCCCGTTCCACTGGTTCTTCATGGAGATCCCAGGTCCATGGTGCCAAGGGAGCGATGTCCACCACACAGCAGTTGGGCATACGTGGGGGCTTGTAGGACCCTTGGAGACCAATACGGGTGGTGGTTTTTCCAATGTGAATAAATTGCGATTGCAGAACCAGATACTGCACTCCAGGATGGGGTTATGGGAAGTGCCAGGCACCTGCTCACCAAGGGGAAGGGGCCTGAGGCCCCACTGCCACGCTTACAGGGCAGCATTCACCACGGGACCATGAGGTGTGCCCTGGCCACCGTGGGGGGCGTGGTGATGCCACAGGTCCCCCTGCGCAGGCTTTGGCTTGATCTCTGCTGAGGTCCACACGATAACCCCCACTTTACAGGTGAGAAAACCAACAGTCATCCAGGGGGCGGGCTGGAAAGGCAGGGCTGGGGCCAGCCACACAGTGCAGGAAGCCCGATCAGGCTGCAGCCAATGGAGCAGGGGCTGTCCCATGCCCCAAGTGGCCCAAGCAGAAAGAGAACACTAGGTGGGAAGGGTCCGCTCACACTCCACCCAACATCATACCCAAATACTAGTGTCCGGTGCCAGGTTTTGCTGCTGTGCCCCATGTGGTGCCAGCAAAGGCCAGTGACTCTGAAGGACTTGCTTGGGACACAGGCCGAAGAGCGAAGGCTGTCCATGTGTGTGCACACGTGCAGTGCTCCGGCTGCATGTGTGGTATGTATATCATGGATGTGCAGGTGCCTGCACTGGTGTGTGTCACGCACATGTGGGTGCACATGTTGTCCTGAGTGCCATGCAATGCAGGCCCTCCACACAGGACAGTGGGGACAGGCAAACCCCAGGCCCCCAGACCACCTCCTGTAAATGTCCGCCAGGCCCGGCCTGTTGAGATGCCCAGAACCCCTACTCTAGGGGTGTCACCAGCCTCCTCCCTTCTCTGGGGGCCTGGGGCCTGATGTGTACCTCCACCCCGGGCATGGTGTCAGCGAGGCCCCCAGCCAGGGAGGTGGGGCCCCCACACCCAGGGGCCGAGCAGGAAACGCTGCTCCCCGCGCTGCACTTGGTTACGGCCTGTGCACTCTCCTTTGCATGCGCCCCACCCGCAGGCCCAGCTGTGCGCTGTCCCCACAAGGAGGCACCTGCGTCGAGCCCTGGCTGGTGTGGGCACAGCTAGCCATGGCGCTCCCGAAGCTCCCAGGCCTTGGGCCCCTGGTGGAGGGGTGGCCCAGGCCCCCAAGTTGCACCGTTCTTAGGTGGGCCGAAAGGCCACAGACCCCACCCTGGGACCCTCTGCACCCTGACCGCAGGGTGGAGGCAAAGCTGTTTGGCTGTCCATCGTCCTCCCAACACCCACCTCGGGCTGCCCCCTGGGCCTAAGGACGGAGCCACTCCTGACTGCTGACAGTGCCTCCCCAGGGCTGGGGAGAGAAGGTGTCCCGTGCCTTCTCCCCAGGTTACCGGCACCTCCAAGCCCCTCCCACAGGCAGCCAGAGACCCTAGGACGCTCTGGCAGAGAAGTCTCTCCTCCCCTTCGAGAATGAGTGAGTGCCACGGGGCTTGGGCACAGGCAGGTAACAAGGTCACGGGCAGTGGCTGCTCAGAGCCTGCCTCCCAGGTCACTGTTGGCCGGAGAGCCTGTTGGCATCGGAGTAACAGTCCGATGTGGAAGCCTGTGGGCCCAGGAAAGCGAAGATGTCTCCGGGGGCCCCCAGGCCTAGCAGGTGAGGACAGGCGAGGGTTTTGCTAAGCAAATTCTCTGTCCCTCCCCGCCCCAACTCGCCATAACTGGGGCCCCCGCTCGGCTGGCCCACTTGCCATCCCTGCGCTGAGCTGCCACCTGCCATGTCAGGCCTGGCTCTCCTGGGCCTCGCGGCTCTCCTGGGCCGCGGGGTGGGGGCTCCCCTGTGTCTGTCCCGGCAGCTCCGGATGCAGGGGGACTACGTGCTGGGTGGGCTCTTCCCGCTGCGCACTGCAGAGGACACAGACCTCAGCGGCAGGACGCAGCCCAACACCCCTGAGTGCTCCAGGTACGGAGGCGGGGGGTGGCTGGGCTGGGGGGCCCCGGGCGGGGATGAGGCAGCGGCTGCCTGCAGCCCTGTGTGGCCCCAGGTTCTCAGCGCCCGGCCTGCTGTGGGCACTGGCCGTGAAGATGGCCGTGGAGGAGATCAACAAGGGCTCCGCCTTGCTGCCCGGGCTACGCCTGGGGTTCGACCTCTTCGACACGTGCTCAGAGTCAGTGGTCGCCATGAAGCCCAGCCTCATGTTCATGGCCAAGGCGGGCAGCTGTGACGTCGCCGCCTACTGTGACTATACGCAGTACCAGCCCCGCGTGCTGGCTGTCATCGGGCCCCACTCCTCCGAGCTCGCCCTCGTCACTGGCAAGTTCTTCGGGTTCTTCCTCATACCCCAGGTGCGCCCCTGTCTCTCTTCGCGTCATCCAGCCCCCACTGGCCCTGCCCGTGGGAGCCCCCGTGTCAGGACACGCCTCCCGGCCGCTGCAGGTCAGCTACGGCGCCAGCACGGAGCAGCTGAGCAACCGGGAGGTGTTCCCGTCCTTCTTCCGCACCGTGCCCAGCGACCGCGTGCAGGTGGCCGCCATGGTGGAGCTGCTGCGGGAGTTCAGGTGGAACTGGGTGGCCGCCCTGGGCAGCGACGATGAGTACGGCCGGCAGGGCCTGAGCCTGTTCTCCAGCCTGGCCAACATGTGGGGCATCTGCATCGCACACGAGGGCCTGGTGCCGCTGTCTCATGCCACCGTCCCGCAGGTGGACGCCACGCAAGGGCTGCTGCAGCGGGTGAACCAGAGCAGCGTGCAGGTGGTGGTCCTGTTCGCCTCCGCCCGCGCCGCGCGCACCCTCTTTAGCTACAGCATCCGCTGTGGGCTCTCGCCCAAGGTGTGGGTGGCCAGCGAGGCCTGGCTGACCTCTGACCTGGTCATGACGCTGCCCGGCATGGCCCAGATGGGCACCGTGCTTGGCTTCCTGCAGCGCGGAGCCCCGATGCCAGAGTTCTCGTCCTATGTGCGGACCTGCCTGGCCCTGGCCGCCGACCCTGCCCACTGCGCCTCGCTCGAGGCGGAGCAGCCGGGCCTGGAGGAGCAGGTGGTGGGGCCGCGCTGCCCCCAGTGCGACCACATCACGCCGGAGAACGTGTCCGCCGACCTGCCGCACCACCAGGCCTTCGCGGCCTACGCCGCTGTGTACAGCGTGGCCCAGGCCCTGCACAACACGCTGCTCTGCAACGCCTCGGGCTGCCCCTCACAGGAGCGCGTGCGGCCGTGGCAGGTGAGGCCCCTGCGCCTGCCCGGGGCCACGGGACGTTGCGGTGGGGGGTGGGGCCTGCGCCTGGCCGGCCCCGCCCACTCGCTCTCACCGCCCAGCTCCTGGAGAACATGTACAACATGACCTTCCGCCCGCACGGCCTGGCGATGCGCTTCGACGCCAGCGGGAACGTGGAAATGGGCTACGACCTGAAGCTGTGGGTGTGGCAGGACCAGAAGCCCCTGGCCCGCACGGTCGGGTCCTTCGACGGCAGCCTGCAGCTGCAGCGCTCCCGGATACTCTGGCACACGCCGAGCAGCGAGGTGGGTGCCAGGCTGCTGTCCCCGGCCACCTGCGGCTCCCTTACCCATGGCCAGGAAAAACCTCTAGCCCCACCTGCGGGAAGTGGGGGCCCATCCCCCAGTCCCGGGCAGGTGCACGCAGCCGAGCAGAGCTTAAGTCCTGAGGCCCCCGTGCCAGGAGCCTGTGTCCCAATGCTCACGGCAGTGCGAGGAGGGCCAGGTGCGCCGGGCAAAGGGCTTCCACTCCTGCTGCTACGACTGCGTGGACTGCAAGGCAGGCAGCTACAAGAGCAGCTCAGGTGAGCCCCTCCCCACGGAGCCCTCCCAGGTGAGCCTTTCCCCCGGCGAGCCCCCTTTCCAGGTGAACTCCCTCCTCAGGCAAGCCCCCATTTCCAGAGGGGTCCCGCTACCCAGGTGAGCCCCTCCCCACGGAGCCCCTCCCCACCGGGCCCCCATTTCCAAGCGAGCCCCCTCAATAGGTGAGCCCCTCCCCAGGTGAGCCCCTTCTCACCTGAGTTCCTTCCCCACGGGTGGACTCAAGTTGAAGCAGAAGTCAGGGAGGGGGCCCACAGGGCTGGGAGCACACGGCCTGGAGCGGTCCCGCATGCCCCAGCACCCCTCCCCCCACACCACAGATGACCTCACCTGCACCCAGTGTGACGAGGACAAGTGGTCCCCAGACCGGAGCCTGCGCTGCTTCCCCCGCAAGCTCAAGTTCCTGGCGTGGGGGGAGCCGGCCGTACTGCTGCTGCTCTTGCTGCTAGGCCTGGCTCTGGGCCTGGCGCTGGCAGCCCTGGCGCTGTTTGTCCAGCACCGGGACAGCCCGCTGGTTCTGGCCTCGGGCGGGCCACGGGCCTTCTTCAGCCTGGCCTGCCTGAGCGTGGCCTGCGCCAGCGTCCTCCTGTTCCCCGGCCGGCCCAGCCTCGCCAGCTGCCTGGCCCAGCAGCCACTGCTCCACCTCCCGCTCACCGGCTGCCTGAGCACGCTCGTCCTGCAGGCGGTGGATATCTTCATGGAGTCGCAGCTACCACTGAGCTGGGCGGATCGGCTGCGCGGCCACCTGCAGGGGCCCCGGGCCTGGCTGGTGGTGCTGCTTGCTATGCTGGCGGAGGCGGCACTGTGCACTTGGTACCTGGTAGGCTTCCCGCCAGAGGTGGTGACAGACTGGCGGGTGCTGCCCACAGAGGTGTTGGTGTCCTGCTACGTGCAGTCCTGGGTCAGCTTCGGCCTGGTACACATCACCAACGCCATGCTGGCCTCCCTCTGCTTCCTGGGCACCTTCCTGGTACAGAGCCAGCCCGGCCGCTACAACAGCGCCCGCGGCCTCACCTTCGCCATGCTGGCCTACTTCATCACCTGGATCTCTTTCGTGCCCCTCTTTGCCAACACGCACGTGGCCTACCGGCCTGCCGTGCAGATGGGCGCCAACCTCCTCTGTGTCCTGGGCATCCTGGCCACCGTCTACCTGCCTAAGTGCTTCCTGCTGCTGTGGCAGCCAGAGCGTAACACCCCCGAGTTCTTCCTGGGAGGGCGTCCTGGCGATACCAGGGGGCGAGGGGGCAGCAGAGGAGGGGACGAGACTCAGGGCAAAAATGAGTGACCCCTGAACAGGTGACCCGGTTGAGATGACCCCAAACCAGGTTCCTCTGCAGTGACCTGCAGACTTGGCCCGACTCTGCTGGAGAACCCGCACCTCTAGATTCTAACCTCAGGCTGACTGCTGACCTTGACCCGACAATGACCCTAGGCCTGCAGTGTGCGTGAGGGGGCTCAGCCCTGAGATCTCCCACCTGGGCCCCCAGAGTTGGGCTCTGCCTCTCCTGGCCAAGGCCTGCCCAGCCCCCGCCAAGAGCTCAGTAAAGCCCTAGCCAGGCCACACTGGTTGTCACTCGCCTAGCTGGGCCAAGCCTGTGCACCCTCCAGTCATCACTGAAGTGGGGGGCTGGTGAGTGGGTTAGAGCTGTTCTGACCGTGGGCCTCAGTGCAGGACACAGGCCCACTTGGGGAAGGGGGCATCCGGCCCCCTCCTTTCCCTAGCCCGACCTGAGCCAGTGGAACGGGGTCATTGCACCCCCAGCACCGTGGACAGAGCCCAGGAAGGTTGGTGGGGCAGTACCACGGCCAGCGCCAACCACAAGGACCCCTGGAGCCAGAAGCCAGCACCACGGACAGACTTCTTGCCAGGACCTTGCCGGCACAGGAGTCAGAGCTTGGTCACTGAGCCGGGACCCAGATGACAGCACCTGGCCAGTCCTGGGTCAGCTCCAGCCAGACCCCGTGAGGCTGGACCGGCCCCCCGTCCCAATCTCCTAAGGCAGCCGCGCAGCAGATAAGAGGCTACATGTCAGTCCCATTAAATTAAATGCTTTTTAGTGTTTAAAATAGCATTTACACAGAAGCAGCTCTATCAACTATCCAGATGAAGCTCTGACTTGATACAGTATCTACAGTGCAGACACGTGCAGGCCAGAGACACTGGGAAGGAAGTGGCGTGTGTGGGCGTGTGGTCACCTGAGAACAGCACGCGAGGGCAGGCTGGCCACCCCTCCCCGCCGGACCTTGCCCTGCAGCAGCTGTCTGCATCTGCGCCCGTGCCCCTCCGGGCCGCGCCCCCCTCCTCCTGCCGGCTGAAACACGTCCCTCTGCCATCTTCCTCTCGCCGACCCTCCCACATACTTTCAGACACCACCTGTGTCCCTGCATTTGCTCTGAGACCCGGTGGCGGGGGGACACTGAAACTCTGCTCCAACCGGGTGTGTGTTGGGGGGGGGGCTGGCTTAGCCGCCACCTCCCCCAGAGGACACAGGCCAAGCAATAAATAAATAAATTATCCCCTCCTGTGGAGACACAGTGGAGCCTGCAGGCTCCAGTCCCACCCCCCGGGATGCCCCCAGCCTGGGCAAGGCGGGCGGGGCCTGAGAACTGGGCGAGGAGTGGGCCAGGCCCAGCGGCCGCCTCTCAGCTCGGCCTGGGGCCCTGTGCAGTGTGGCTGACTGGGGGGGGCCCTAAGGCGTGCGCCCAGGGGGCAGGTGAGACCCGCCCAAGCAGAGACAGACACATGCCCACCAGGCCTGCGTGGACACGGCTCTGACCAGGAGCCGACGGCTGCCCGGTCCGGATCGTGGTGGCCAGGGCCACCCCTAGCCCCTCTCCTCCAGCCTGCCCCCTCTCTGTCCCTCCCTGGACCCCACGGCATGACTCCTTGTGCACATGGAAGCACAGGCTGGCCTGCTCAGGTCAGCCACCACCAAGGCAGGCCGGAACCAGCTCCAGAGGCTGTGCCCCGCTGCAGGCACTGTGAGGCCAGGCTGCAGGCATGCTCCTCGGTCACATGATGTCGACGAAGAATTCACAGGGATTCCCCATGGCCTTCTGGAAGGACTGGCGGCTGCCTGTCAGCTCTGGGGGGACAGCGGCCAGCTCCCGGACGGGAGGCCCCCCAGGTGGCCCGCCCACCACTGAGTACGCCTTCGTCAAGGGATGCAGTGGGGGGAGCCCCGGGGCCGCCGAGGCCTGGCTATGCGGGCTGCTGCCACGACTGAGCTGACTCGCTGGACGCTCCCGCCAGCCACTGCCCCCGACTCCACTTGCGGCCGTGTGGTCTGACTCGCTGCCACTGCCTCCAGCTCCAGCCCCCCGATGCTCCTTCTCTCGGCCCAGGGCCCGCCGGCTGCTCCCGCCCGCACTCCGGGTGGACCCGCTGCTTTTGCTTCCTGGGGTGGAGGAGAGGAGAGGAGGACCAGTCGGTGCCCGGCCTCGCCTCTTCCAGGAGCACTGAACGCTGCTAGAGCGATCAGGCCGAAACCTGGTGGTCAGGAGCTGGAGGAACGGGGCAGCCATGCAAACACAAGGGCAGGGCTGAGCCCGCCCAGAAACGCGGGAGCAGCTGCAGCAGGCGGGGCTGGGTGGGGGGACAGTGGCAGGCAGGCGGGGACACTTGGGGGGCCAGCTCAACGCCCCACACCTCACCCCAACGCCTGCACCAAGTGCCTGGTCTTGCAGCTAAAAAAAACAGGCGCCAGCGAAGGCCCGGAGGGCGAGTGCGCCCGTCCGCCGTCCTGGGCCCCCCGCCCCAGACCCACCTTCCGTCGGACCCCAGGGCCCTGGCCAACTACTCGGCTCAGCCTTGTCCCGGGCTCTCAGGAAGCACTGGGAACCGGAGGATGCCGGCTGGCTGGGGACATGCCGAGAGGGACACCGGGCAGGACCCTGGCTTACCGGCCCCGAGGGTCCATTCCGCTAGTCCTTCAGTCTAAGGCTTGCTCAGCACAAAGCAAGGGATAGCGTGAGTTACACACCAGGCCCGGCCCGGCACCCACGCCCACCGGCAGGGCGTGCCTGCCACCAGCTGGGCCTGTCCAGGGTCCGCAGGTGCCCAGTGCAGCTTCTCCTCAGGCACCGCTGCTCCTGACCCGCTCTGCTGTCTGGGTCTGCTCGGCCAGCTGCCCGACGCCCCCCGAGACCCTGTGGGCACTCGCCCACTGTCCACATTGACCCCCATGCGGCCTCGGGCCGCTGCTCAGACGTGCCCCTTGGGCTCTCCCCTCAGCTTCCTGCATCCTAGTGGGGGGTGTAGTTATGTCTGTCCTCCACGGCACCCCGGGGCTCCTCCGCCATTCCCCCATCCTGGGCCACCGTACCCCCACGTCCCCACTGTCACCACACCATGCTTTCCCACCCCACCTCCCGGCCTCCTGCCTCTGCCTCGCCTGCAGTCAGCTCCTTGGGTTCCCTCTCCCCGGACCCCTCAGCCACTCGCCCCTTCCAAAGGGAGCCCGCTCAGGGCCCAAGCACAGAGCAGGGGGCAGTGCACAGGGCAGGGGGCAGTGCACGGGCAGAGCCAGGCGGCAAGGAGGGCAGGGGGCTGGCCCCCAGCAGCCTCTCACCTTCGCTTTGCTGACTCCCAGCACTGCCGCTGCCGTAGCTGAAGCCGGGGTCCTGGTACGCGGGCGGGAAGCAGGGCGGGGGCCCCGGGTACTGGTAGGGGTAGCCCTGGCCCAGGGGCCAGGGGGCAGCCGGGTGGGGCAGTGGGGCCAGCATGTCCTGATCCGAGGCCCCACTGGAGCCGCTGTGGAGGGTCAGGGCGGCGAGACCTGGCGAGGGGGGGCGGGTGAGGGCGAGGGCGGGGGGGCCAGGCCCTCTGGGGCGCCCCGCCCCGCAGCCCCACTCACTGCTGCACAGGTCCCCGAAGACGTAGTAGCACTGCTCAGAGAAGGTGACCTTGTTGACTGTGTGCCTCAGGAACCCGTGCTTCAGCATGCTGCTGGCGTACTTGCGTGCCTCCCTCCGCTCCTTGAAGCCTTCCACGTGCGTGTACAGCCAGTCCACCACGTCCGCCCCTGGCCAGCCACACGTCAGGCCTGGGGCCCGGCCCGCCCACCCCGCCCCGCCGAGCAGACCACTCACCGATGACAGCGTTGGCGATGGTGATCTTGAGCCACATTCGGTCGCGGATCTCCAGGCCGGAGTCTGGCAGCTGCATGACCCGGACCACGGCCCCCATGTCACTCTTCACTGTCAGCGGCCCCTCCTCCAGCTCTGTAAGGCATGGCCCCTCCTCAGCCAGCAGCAGGGGTGTGGGGGGTTCAGGACGGACTGCCCTGCCAACTGAGCCCTCTCAGAGGCCGGGTGGCTGTGGGCCACCCACCGCTCAGTGGACCCCACACCAGGGCAAGGCTCCTCCCCCTAGCCCAGAGCCCACAGGCGATGCCTCGGCCCTCCCCGCCCCCGCCAGCTGGACAGCTAATGCCAGCAGCAGGAGAGCAGGCAGGCCGTACGTACACACCTGCCTCTCCCTACGCCGGCCATGGCAGTCCCACAGGAAGGACCCGTGGGGCTGGCCGGGCTCCTCCAGGCACCTCCACCCCCACGGAGGAAGGGACCTGGGGAAGGGTGTCCTGAGGGCGCACACGCGTCGGCACTGCACCCGCCTGCATGGGCCTGGCAGCAGCATGAAAGCACAGGCTGGTGGCCCTCGGTGCGCCCACACCGGGGGAGCGCCTCGGGTGGTCCTCGGCCTAGTGCCTCAGTCCCCTGACTCGTGAGCTGCCACTTACGTGGCACGCCGGGCACAGAGCTGGTCAGTGAGGAGGAGCTGGTGCGTGTGACCGCGCTGGAGCAGGGGCTCGTACCGTACAGGGGCCGGGCTCCGGCCAGCGCCGCCGTGTGGGACAGCCAGGCGGCCGGGTCGATGGGCCGCACCGGGTCAGCTGGGCAGCCGCCGCGTGGCACAGACAGACGGACAGACGGATGGACGGTGGGGGAGAGAGCGAGCACAAAGGCAGAGGAGAGAGCCCCTTCAGGCTGGGCTGGGCGCCCCCATCCCCTGCCCACTAGCCCCGTGGGGCCACTCACCCCTCGGGATGGTGAAGTAGCTCCGGGGAGTTGGGTCCCAGCACTTGGCCACTGTGAGGCTGATGGGCCTGCAGAGTGGCAACGAGCAGGTCACCCGGGCCCAGCCCCTTAGGGCCACCCGCTTGCCCCACCGTGCCCTCGGGCCTCACCCCGTCTGCGACACGATCTCCCGCAGCACCCGCACAGCGTCATCATTGCTCATGTTCTCAAAGTTGACGTCGTTCACCTGGGGGGAGGGGTTCAGCGGAGTGGAGGGTGGGGAGGTGCTGACCTCCAGGCCCCCCAGCAGCCCCCCACGGCCCGCACCTGCAGCAGCATGTCGCCCGGCTCGATCCGGCCGTCCGCAGCCACGGCCCCGCCCTTCATGATGGAGCCGATGTAGATGCCACCGTCACCCCGGTCGTTGCTCTGGCCCACGATGCTGATGCCCAGGAAGTGGTGCCTCTCTGTGTGGGCCATGCGGTGAGCACCCCGCCCAGCCCCCCGCCCCCCCGGGGGCCCCGCCGAAGCCTCACCCATGTTGAGCGTGACAGTGATGATGTTCAGGGACATGGTAGAGTCCGTGATGCTGCTGAAGGAGGAGGCCTGCGAAGGGGCGCGGGTGAGGGGCCCAGCAGGGCCAGGGCGAAGGCGCAACCCCACCCCGCACCCCGCCGCTACCTACACGGTCCGTCTGCCGCAAGCGCTGCTTCCGCCGCCGCCGCTTGTGCTTCCGGATGAGCCGGGAGGACGTGCTCTGCTCCGTGGAGCTGCTCAGCCTGGGGCACGGGGCGGCAGGGAGGCTGCAGGGGGGCGCGGCCCGCAGAACGGGCACCCTCCCTCACACAGCCCACCCCGCACAGGGGACGCACAAACCCCACACCCACGGGGACAGCGACCCTCAGGCGAACAGACACAAACAGAGGGGACGCCAGCACGGCCACCTGCACTGGCACACAGTGTGGTGTGAGCACACGAACAGACACGGGCACCTGTGTACACTCACCCCTGCACACACACACCTGTAAAATGCCCGCGCATACACACCTATGCACACCCACTTGTGCACACGTCCTCGCACATACACACCCGAACACGTTCATGCAGACACATACACCCATGAACACCCATGCAAACGCCCACACTCACCCCACACACCATGCCCACGATAAATAACCGTGTGCACACACACCCACGACACACACCCACACCCACTACAAACACCCACACAGGCACACCCACAACACAGCCACACCCACATCCATGCTCCCTACATACACTCACACATGCACACCCACAACACGCCCACATCCACGCCCCCTACATCCACTCACACACGCACACCCACAACACGCCCACACCCACACCCACGCCCCCTACATACACTCACACACGCACACCCACGCCCACACACCTGTGCACGCGCCCACACCACACCCACGTACCGGCTGGTGCTGCCGTCCTCGTCTGAGTCGATGAAGCTACTGGACTCGAGTTCACTGCTCAGCACAGTGGACGCACTGTCGGGGGGCAGCCCCAGGTCCCGCCGCCGGTCCCCCCTCGGGTGCCCGTTGGTCCGGACAGCTGTGGGACAACAGAGAGGGAAGCCGACTGTGGGGTTCCCCCGTCCTCAAGCACCTGTTGACCTGGGAGCTGGCAGGGTGACTCTGGGGTGGCTGGGGGGGTCCCTGAGGGAGCCTGGGACCCCTCCCCAGAGACTCCACTTGCTGGAGTCAGCGGGGGCCGGGGGCGCAGCCTGTACCCTCCTCACGGTTCCGGCGTCGGGCTCGCTCCCGCCTGTGGCTGACCATGGACTCGGTGCCGGTCTCATTGTCCATCCCGTCACGGCTGCTGGACACATTTGGGCTGTGCCGACAAGAGAGGCACGAGCTGGGCAGGCCGGACCCCGCGTCCGGTGCCCTCTCAGCTCCTCGCCCCACAGCCAGGAGGGGCCTGACGCCCAAGGGCCCTCGTCCGCCTGCCCGCCCAGTCTGGGCCTCCCTGCCCGCTCCTCCTCTGCTGACCAGCTCCTACCGACTGGGGGTCCAGCTCAGCTGCCCACCCCCCAACAGGCCTTGGCAGGGGCCCCGCAGGACCACCAGGCTCGGCACCCCAGAGCTCTTACTGGAAAGAGGGGGGCCGGGAGTCCCCGATGCCGCCCATCCGCTCCAGAGGCGGGGGCAGGTCCGTGTGTCCGTCAGTGGCCTGAGACCCTGCATCCGAGTGGGCGCCCTCGGCCAGGACCAGCTGCGGAGTTGACCAACGGCTCGGGGAAGCCCGCGGGGCACCCGGGTCACGGTGACCAGCCTCCCCCCAGGCAACCCCAGCAACGCTGGGACCACCCCACCCCAGAGTGCCCACCGCCGTCCCACAGGCTCACCCAGGAGACCACGCGGCCGTTGAAGCAGGGCAGCCTGGCATTGTCGGCAGAGATCTCCTCCTTCACCACCCTGTGGGCAGACGCCGCCTGAGAGCCGGCCCTTGGCCAGGGGGTGCGCCCTACGCCCAGACGCCGGTCTGCGTGGCTGCCCCTGCCTAGCACACCGTCTTCCGGGGGACCTTCCCAGGCCCCAGGCCCAAGGGGGTCCAGACCGCCACCCCATCAAAGCCTGTAGCACCGCACCATCCGAGTCCCACCGTGCTGTGTGCCCACAGGGGGCGTCAGGCCTCTTCCCTGAAACGCCCCCCGCCCCCCGCCATGGCCTGGAACAGGGCACGGAGGGCGACAGCCAGCACAGCTCACAGGGGCAGCTCGGGAGAGGCTGTGGGGCAGGTCAGGCAGGGGCCGTGCCCAGACACATGCCACTCTGTGGCCGCCCCAGCTCATGCACCTCAGCCACGGACAGCAGAGCTCACAGGGAAACCTGTGACCCCATCAGAACATGGCCGAGGACACTCGAGAGGTCATCACCATAGGAAGAGCTGGGGTGGCCCAGGGGTGGCTGTAGCTGACAGATGGGGAGGCCCAGCGGGCCAAGAGCACTGTCTCTGAGTGACGGCAGCAGCGGAGACCCAGGGGGGCCTGGTCCCCACACAGCCCAGGTAGCCTCACCTGCAGCCTCCCTGCCACACCCCAGCTCCGCCCTTCCCGACTCAGCCACAGGGAGGCAGGCGAGCAGCCCCAGCCCCCGCCACCGGGCCTGCCTGGCTCCCCAAGAGGCCCAGGGCCCTCAAGGCCACACTGCCCACCCAGCCAGGACTCTGAGAGGACCCAGGGCTGATGAGGCCGCTGAGCCGCCAGGCCCCAGCGGTCCCCAGGCTGAGCAGCCCACATTCGACCTGCACACAACAGAGCACCCCGCCCTCCACCTGAGGGTCAGGGCACTGGGCAACACAGGCCCAGCTGGCTCGGCTGGGAGGGAGCGAACAGATGCCAGGGACCCCAGGACAAAGGGCACAGGGCCCTCCTCAAGGGCTGAGATGGGCCCACTTCTGGCCTGGGAGCCCAGGGGCAGGGACGAGGTCGAGGGTGAGGAAACACTCCCCAACTGCCCTGAGACCCTCTCGCGGCCGGCCTCGCTGCTGGGGAGCAGACCGCAGAGCAGTCCCCATGACCCCCAGAGGCGGCCACCCAAGCACCCCGGTGGCAGCTTGCCCCTGACCTCAGAATTCCTGGCACGATCCCAGTTAAGCTCGGACTTGTGGCCGTCCCGCCCCGCCCGCCACCCCCGCAGACTCGCCCTGGCGAGGAATCTGCTCAGAGCAGGGCCCTTGGAGCCCAACACGGCTGAGGGCCAGGAGGACCTGGGGGCTCCTGAGGCCGCAGCACGCCCCAGGCTGGCCCTTCCCCAAGCCATCCCCGTGGGACAGCCCTAAGTGCATCCCCAGAGGCACAGGGTCCCCCCACCCTCCCTTCCCACCGCAGAGCAGGAAGTTGGCAGAGAAAACTGGCACATGGCAGGGAAGGGCTGTCCCCGAACCCTCGCGAGCCACTGCCTCCTGCAGGCTCAGACTCTGCAGGCCACCGGGCAGAGGGGCTCAGTCCCCGCCACACGGCCACTGACAAGCCAGCTCGGCACCTCCGGGCCGGCCCAGCACCAGCCCAGAGACCCTGCCCAGCCAGGCCGGGCCAGTCCATGCGTGACCTGCACGGACAAAGTGAGCAGTGGATGCAGGACCCTCCACGCACCTGGCCAAAGACACATGGGGGTGGGGCCCGGGCCAGAGAATGTGGCGCTGGCCCCGCCACAAACCACACGTCCCTTGCCGTGGCCAGGAACAGGCTCAGGGAGCTCAGGGCCCAGGCCGCAGTGGGGTGCGGCTGGCAGCAGGAGGCCTGGGCTCACCAGGGTGCTCCTCACAGCCCCAACCTGAGGCCGCCCTGTCGCAGGTAGGGGGGCTACCCCAGCCCAGGGGAACCTGCTCTCCGTCCCCCACCTCCATTAGGCCCACTAGGCCTCCGGGTCGCCTTCACGCTAAGCCCGAGCAGCGGTCACACCTTCCAGGGGTCTAGCCAACTAAATGACGAGTCCACACAGTCTGAGCAGCGGTCACACCTTCTGGGGTCTAGCCAACTAAATGACGAGTCCACACAGTCCGTCCGCAGAGCTTGGAGCCCTGAGGGCGGAGCTCAGGGGAAGGAGCTCAGGGGAAGGAGCTCAGAGGCAGCTGATGGGGTCCTCTCCCAGGTCCCTGAGGCGACCAGGCCACCAGCCAGAGACCCAGGGAGGAAATGAGATGAGCCTCCCCACCCCCATTCTGCCTGCCCAGTGCCCCGGCCAGTGTCGCCTCGCTCCATCCCCCTCGACCTCGCAGCTGCCCCCTGCCTCCCAGCCATTTCCTGTCCCCTCTCACACCCCAGCCACTTCCAGGCCCGCCCAGACAACCCACAGAACTCCAGTCCTGCTCCAAGACCCAGACTGGCCTGCCTGCCCGCCTCCCCGGCCAGGACACCCATGGGCGCTGCCAAGCCCCCAGCAGGCCCAGCCTCCATGGGGAGTGCATTTGGGGTGAAGTTCTCTGCAGCTCGTGGGTGACCCACAGTGGCTACTGGACACAGGAGACGCAGCAGACCCCTCAGGACACACCCAGAGCATGGTCCGAGGGCAGCAACCTGGCGGATCGGGCATGTGCCCTGCCACACCACACACTCTCTGCTGCCTTCAGTTCGTGACAGACAGCACGTGTGACTTCAGTAATTTTTGTTACAAGAATAAAGTAAGTTAAAAACAAAACCAACTTTTCACATAGCCCCTGGTCACAGCCAAAGCAGCCCGGACCCAGAGGAGCAGAGACTGTGTGACATCGTCCAGCGAGGGCAGGGGAGGTGCGGGACGAGACTCCCCAACACAGTGCCCCACCTGCGGGGCCCGGCCCATAGTGGCTCATAACCTGAGCCAGCAGAAAGGCCAGCTAGGCAGGGCTGGGGTGTCCAGCCGTCAGAAGCTGCCAGGGACACACCCTCCCCTCTGCCCCTCCCTGGTGGTGGGGGGCCCAACAGAGTCCAGTTGCCCGAATGTCCCTCAAGTCGCCCAGAGCTGCAGAGTAGCACCGGCTTGACCTGGCCTAGGGCTGCCCGGGGCCCATGCAAACTATAGAATCCAAGAAATGGCCTCAATGTCAAAGTCTCAAGAGGCAGCCACACACAAGGACAAGGGCTGCCTGAGGGCAGCCAAGCCTCTGGCTCCCCCTCCCCAGCACTGCCGAGCAGGGACTCAGGTTACCTGGGCTGAGCGGGGTCAGGCCTTGTGCTGCTCACCGTCCCAGGCCCAGCCCAGGCAACTAGAAAGTCCCCTCGGCCCAGACGGCCACCACTAAGGCCAGACACAGGAACGCTGGCCCAGAGGCTGCTCCCAGGACTCCCAGTGCTGTGTGGCTCAGCGGGGACAGAGACCCAATGGGCAAGCAATCCCAGGTAGGGGTGGGTGGAGTGACCCCTGACCTCTGTCTTGTTCTCAGGATCCTGGGGTCGAGGGGGGGCGGCCAGGGCAGGCTGTCTTGAGCCTCTGGAAACTTCTGCAGACCCCAGCAGACAGATCTGCGCCCCTGTCCTAAATCACTTCATTGCCCCCCATGCTAAGTAAGGGGACCACTAGGTGGCTAGAAGCCTACCCCCAGTCCCCCTTCGCTGCCCCTCTGATAGTCCTCTGACCCCAGGCCTCGTAAATCACAAGTCCCCAGACCAGCTCTAAGCACCTGACCTCTGCAGACAAGGGACAATGGGCCCTGAGTCTGAAAGGTGCCCAAGTGGGACTGCAGAGTCGCTCTGGGCCAGACCTTGCCCCACGGGTCACACATACTCAAGCACAGAGGACAGAGCCCAGTGTGGGTGGAGAAGCCAGGTGGCTCTCCTGACCACTGGCCAGAGCTCTCAGGTTCCTGGGCGGGCCGTCAGGGTCCCGTGCGTCCCCAGCTTGGCTCACAGACAGGTGGACACACCACGCCGGGGCGCGGCCCCAGGATCCCCAAGGCCCTGCCCGTGCGCCGACAGGTGCCAACACCCGCGCCCGCGCACAGACCCACCGCCCACTGACCCGAAGTCCTGGTCCATGGACTTGAAGAAGAATTTGTAGGCGTGCACCGGCCGGTTGCTGAGCACGTTCTTGAAGTCGGCCAGCGTGACGCGTTCGGGCGCCACGGGCAGCTTGACCAGGTACGGCGTCTCCTCCTCGTCCATGTGATAGATGATCTTGGTCTCCGCCATGGCGCGGCGGCGGCGGCAGGCGCGGGGCCCGCGCAGCGCTGG